GGCCCGGCGGGACCCCAGGGCAGCTGGCGGTGGACTGCCCCGGGGCTGCCCCGTCCCTCTCACGACCGCCGACCTTTCAGCACCACGGACAGCGCGCGCCTCCCAGTTTCTCTCCCGCCAGGCTAGTCCCATCCGGCGATGAAAATACCCCCGTGGCGAATACAGGGTTTAACTTGACCACCCTCCCCCCCTCCTCCGTCTTTTTTTTAAACCTGTTTTTCCAGTTATAAGCTCCTCAGGTGCTTTAATGATCATGTCATTATCTCTTATGCATTATTCAGTGGAATTTTGCTTATATGTAGAAGCAAACCTATAGGATGTAAGGTGAAGTCCGTTTTCTACAAATACATCCTGAGAGGGTAGTCTTAGAATACAGAATGAGGATGAGCCATACCAATGGCCAGAAAGGGCAGGGCCTTCCTTATCGCTCCTGTTGGTGACTAATCACACTGATCTGCAAAGCATGTCACGAGAAAATAGTTTAGCAAGAGAATAGGAATGTACTTCCTATTTTGTTAGAAACACAATTAAGAATGATCAACACGATTCAAGGTGCACGTGAACTTATTTGAGAGGAGTTGTGCAGTGGAAAGGATACTACATCTCTCCTTGTGTGGTCTGAGAGAACATTAGGTTTAATATTTTTAAAAGTAAGGAAATTGCATAAGAATATGCAGGCTCTCAGGAATATAGTGCCCTAAGTCAATATTTATGATGCTACATTTAGAAAAAGTAAAAGCATAATGCTATTGCAAGCCGCTTTCTGGGAGGCCATGCATTTCTTCTTTAGCAATGATTAAGAATAACTGCAGAGGAAATGCATCTGACCATCCACTTAAAAGTTATTAAAGAGATTTAATAGTACAGCTTTTCCTCAAGGGTATTAGGAGCTATATCTTGCAGACATTTTGTATGTTCGTAGAACATTTATGTCGTAACTCTAAGCAATATCTTTGAAATAGTTTTAAGACTTTAGTTCCATTCCCATCAGAGGTATAAAATTTTAATTTCATTTTCTAGAATAGAGTTTGATGCTTGTGCCCTTCTGGGTAAATGGCTTTAGGTGTTTAAAATAGAGATGCAGACACAAATGCTGACACTGACCCCCGTCCTTTTCAGGGTGAGCTCTTAAATCCCTGCCGATGTGATGGGTCGGTTCGGTATACACATCAGCTGTGTCTGCTGAAGTGGATCAGTGAGAGGGGCTCTTGGACCTGCGAACTGTGCTGCTACAGATACCACGTCATAGCCATTAAAATGAAACAGCCCTGCCAGGTACGCCGTTCTGGCATTTATTTTTCCTGAAGTAGTTTTGTCAACATGCATGTACTTGAGTGTAATTATTTCTAAGGATATCGGCTTATGCTACTTAAGACTAATTTCTGCAAATCACAGTAAAACCAAGATTTAGAATTTGTAGAGATGAGCTTTGAGCATGCTCTGACTTTTTATCTGAGAAACTCAAAAGACATTTTAATCAAATGGTTTCCTTTAGTAATTTATTTACAGATAGAAGTATTTCCATCTTTGTTTCTGAAAGGAAAAGAAGATAAAATGTCTTACAGTCTACTTGAATACTTTTATTAACTAAAGTGTTACTTTGTTTTAGTAATATGTTGATAATTTAAGCATTTAAACCCTGATTGACTCCATTTATGAAAAACAGATATAAGTAAAGCAAAACTTTACTGGTATGAAACTTAAGATTGAACCTATTATTTCTAATCTGAATAATCTTTCCATTTAATCAGGATTTCTTATTCATATGAGTTTTTTCTCCCAAAAGTAAATTTTGACTACTTTCACTTTTGTGTGCTCAAGTTTCTCAACAATAACAGAAGTTTTCTCAACATATACTACTAAATAGTATATATTCTTAAAATTTTTGTCTATAATCACATAATAACATAATGCCCATAAGCTTATAGATGTGCTAAAAAAAGAGGTTTTTCTTTTTAAATTATGATAGGACTGATTCAGGTTCTGTAAATAGGCCAGTGGAATGTAAAATACAACATATTAAGGATGACATATTAAAGAAGGGCAGAATAATGTGTAATTAAAAAAATATGCTAGTGAGATGGAGATAAGTTTAAATAGATATAAAAGTGTGAGGTTCAGAACATAAAGACAAAAGAAGTGATGGAAGGAAAAGGAAGAGGAAATTAGGAAGTTAGGAGGAGATAAAGTAATAAAATCTAGCATTACTTCTCTCTCTTCAAAATTACCATATTTAGTTTGCATAGAGCAATGTAACATAGCTGAAGTTGTTAATGTTTGTTGAAGGAATCTGGAAGCTGAATTCTTACTGCATTAATCACTTAAATTTCATAGTTTTTAATTTATGCATCCTTCATATAGTTTGCAATTAATTTGCATCTTTGCTAGTCACCGTTCAAGGCATGATTAGCAAGCATGAAATGAAAATACGACTTTTCCCAAGCTATCCTGAGGCTTATAAGTAATTTGGAAAGTGAAAGTAGAAGATGTAGGTGGGGGATGTGATCATGATGAAGACAGGCAAAACCTGACACATTTTCCCCAGAACCTCTCATTGATGAATTAACATGGATATCAACTTATGGATCTATCAGAGTTGTTTTGAAAAACAGATGGAACCATGTCCAAAGATCAGGATAATCAACTCTACAATAATTTTATAATTAGAAATATGTGAGAAGATAAGAAGTGGGAGCACTTTCAGGCTATGGTGAAAAGTCCCATGGAAAAAGCTATGGTCAAATGCTCAAGAGCTATAACAAAATGAAAAGTATATAAAAAGCTTTAGCTTATGGCTATGGGCATTATATATGTATTCATCTGGAAGGATTAATTTTGAAATAAACAGAAATAAGTCTTTGATGTGCATTTTAAAATAGAGAGGAGATAAAGAACTGGGCCAAAAACAAAATAATATTTACTAATACTAATCCTTTAGTAAAAAAAATTGATTACTCCCATCTCTTGCTGCATTAAAATAAACTCAATAATATAATTATTTTAACAAAGGAAATTCCTTAAACTATGTATAGTCTGACTCTCTTCTCCCCAGAAAGAATCAAAACCTCAAGCTAATCTATTATTACTAACCCATTTGGGATTAAGTTTATGATTATGTATATAAATAATATCACATAATCTATAACCTGATATAATTGGCTCAGTGTTCTGTAAGATCAGATTTAGAAACAAAGTTGATATGAATATGATGTGATAGCTCAGATTATGCTGGAGAAGGAATAACTTTATCATTTATATTAGATACATACACAGCATGGCATTCTCAATGAGTGAAAATCAATGATAGTGTTTCCCGAATTTGGATCCTTACATGAAGGAGTAGTTTATTCTCAGGTAAAGTTTGACTGCTTCTCTGACCTTTCTCTTATGGATGATTCACAAACTGAGCACTGACCTATTCTTAATTTTTGCACTTGCCAGGAAGGCTCGTCAGAGTCTGCCTCGATCACCTTCATACTTTTAGTGTGGTAGAGATCTGTTTCCACCTGGTGCAGGATCAAAGAGGAAACGTGTCTATGGCCCTCTCCTTTATTTCCTGTACTTCTCTGTCCTGAGTATAGAACCATCCCACAGCTGTGAACAAATGGCTTCTTGGATGTAGAACAGATGATTAAGAGAAGACATTTACTAAAGACATTCTCTGTGCCAGGCACTATTTAAGTGCTTTATAAATATGGCTACTGATATTTAACCTTCATATCAAATAATGGGGTGAGGGATATTATGATCTCTATTTTACACAAAGGAAAACTAAGACATAGAAAAGTTAATAAACTTCTACTTTGTACATATCCAGAGGCAAAGCTGGGATTCAGACTCAGTCAGTCTGGCTCCAGGGTCTATGACGTTGACCACCATATTGGGAAATGCTCTTATCAATCCATCCTAGCCATCTTGATGTTTATGGGTGTATCATGTCTTGTTGTATACATGGTTGAGGATGGTTACAGCCTCGTCTTGAAGAGGATTTGGAAAGGTTTTGGCTCTCTATTGCTGTATAGTACACCACTCTAATACTTAATAGTTTATACAACTGCCATTTATTCTCTCTCAAGAATCTGTGGGTTGACTGAGGTCAATGGGATATTCTCCTCATGTAATCATCCAGAGGTTTGGCTGGGCTAGAAAATCCAAGATGGCTCATTCATTGTTCTTGTCCTTCATGCTGGCTGTTGGCTGGAAACCTGGCTGGGACTGCAGCTTGGTGCCACAGTTCTCTTTCCATGTGTCTTGTGCCTCTCATACTATGATAGTTGGGTTTTAAAAGCATGAAAGTGGAAGTTAAAGATCTCTTAATTCTCAAGCACCAAAGTGACACAATTTCACACCTGCTTCATTATTTTCTTAGTTAAAGCAAGTCATGGGACAAGCTTAGATTCAAAGGAAGGAAAAGAAGACACCATTCTGGATTCTGACTCTTCCTTAACCCACCATAGATGATAGCTTCTACAATGGCTCTTCCTCCCTACCCTCATTTCTGCATTTGGTCCTCATCAGGCCCAGGTCAATCAAAAGGCATATCACAACTTTCCTCCTGGGTTCCTGAACCAAAAAAATGTAGGGGAGCTCGAGTCCACCAGTGGCACTTAATGCAAAGCCTCTAGTACTTTCAGAAGTGATCTTACCACAGTGTGTCCCCTGGTGCTCACAGGGAGATGGAAATAGGGAGGGCCAAGGAGCAGTTAGCCAGGAAGCTGGTGTGCAAGAGTGAAACAAACTGCAGTGAGTCTAAAACCTTCATTTAACTTTTTTCTCATTCACTTCAAGAACTGGGATCTAAACCTCCCTATTTCGTTAGATTTCAGTGATGCTCAGCAACATGACCCAAGTAGGAAGCTAGTGGATATGTCTTCCACAACATATTTAAACCTTAATTGCTGTATCATTAGCAAGAGGAGTTAATTAAGACATTTAAGGTAATTAAAATGCATTTACCTTCCGACCTACCTGCAGAATCAATTTTATTTATTAACATATCCAAGATTATGTATTCATGATAATTTAAGAGTAAAAGCTAATTCTGTTTCAAATCTCATAGTGTGGTCTAAACTTAGTGAAATCCAAAAACATGTAACATCAAATTTATTTTGAGGTGTTAGTGACATTATAATTTAGCTAAGCTGTATTCCATTTAAGAATGATTTCAGTATTTTTCCAAGAGACATGGATCTTTGAAGAGATAGCATTTACTCAATGAAGTATTGCATGAAAACCTTGCTATGAAAGTATTGCCTAAACATAGAAAAAATGTATGTTGATGGAAGGTAATAGCTATGTTACTTTAGACAAGCTACTTGGACCTCAGCTAACTTATCTTTAAAAGGGAGATAATAATGGCATCTATCTTGTACGTTATTTTGACGATTAGGTACATAGATATATGCAAAGTGCTCAGAATGGTGCCTGGCACATGGTAGGTGCCCTTTTAATATTGCCCCTGATTGTTATTCTTGCTCCATCAACTAGGAGGCAGAGAGCTTCAGTGGACCACTTCTCTCTTATTTCCTTTGGGCTGTTATCACCAAAATGAATTGAGTGACTCCTCTTTCCATTATCATTCTTTACCTCGAGCTTATTCCAGGACTCCACCTCTGCTTCTGAGCAAATTAGTTATAACCGATGAATGAATCAGCATTTTAAAAGCAGGCGTTATGAGATACAGTAACCCCAGCACATGTGAGTGTATTTACTCTCTAGGTGTCTCTCACCGTGGGTCTTATTTACGTCCTTATTGGAGTGTACTCATAATTGGGGGTATGAGATACATTTATTCATTTATTTAATTACCAGAGGATGCATGCATTCACCAGAGAGAGAGAGAGAGAGAGAGAGAGAGAGAGAGAGAGAAAGCATTCCCCCAATGAGGTGTAGTCCTACTGCAATACCTTCTCCTCTGTTTTTCTATCCTTTTGGGATTTGGGTTATGTACACATACATCAGGTGTGTTTTAAACCTGTCAGAGGCAACTTGATTTAAATCATGCAGGCTGCAGGGCCAGCTCTGAGATGCTTTCAAAGGTGGCTCAGGGTTAGGACAGCCAAGCTCATTTAGGGACAGCCAACCAATGTTTGTTTAATCTTTGGAATGGCTCCTGTCAGGTCAAGACATGTGATGTGGTAGTAGGCAGAAGGTCAAAGAAGTCCAAGAGACCTCTGGGAGACAATCATGAAGGCATAGTGACAAATAGTTACAGGAGCGCTGATTCCACCTGCTGTCCTCCCTCCTTTGTTACCTAGAGCCTCAGAGAAAAGGGC